CTATTACATGGCCCAGCACAGAAGAGTGATTGATAACTTATCTATTGAATGAATCAATGAGTAATAAATAATGAATGAACGGTAAGTCATGCCTGTTATCCTATAGCACTTTGGGGGCTAGGCGTACAGGTCACAAGGTCAGGAGTTTGAGACCAGCCTGGTCAGCATGGCGAAACCTCGTCTCTACTAAAAACACAAAAATTAGCCAGGTGTGGTGGCACATGCCTGTAGTCCCAGCTACTGGGAGGCTGAGGCAGGAGAATCACTTGAACCCAGAAGGCAGAGGTGCAGGTAAGGCAGATGTGCCACTGTACTCCAGCCTATGTGACAGAGTAGACTCCAAGTCTCAAAATAAAATGAATGAATAGAAAAATAAATAAAAATGAATGAATGAGTGAATGAATAAGAGCAACCTGCCTAATGTGGTCTAGAAATCCAAATACTCATAGGAGTTATCCCATCAGAATCAGGCACACGTATAACTGAGGTCGCTCTCCATGTTCTAGCCCACCAGCCTCTAACCTGGCTTCTCCTCGAGCCCCATTGGTGTAGTGGGCAGCACTGGACACCTAATGAAGCTGCCCCTCACATCGGCTTGGTCAGAGGAGTATCCCCTGCTCCAGAGGCTTACTTTTCCCAGGCTGACAGAGGAAGTGAAATTAGAACTAGAGATCATTGAGTAAAACTGCCCGCCAATTTTACAGGAGAGGAAACCGAGAGCACAGCATGGAAACCTACAAGGTACATACCGAATGTCAAGCCACAGAATTTTACAAATAGTTTCTTCATCTCTCCCTTCCTCTGTCTCTCTGTCCTTTTCTTTATCTCTCTCTCATCTTGGTTGTTTTAGTCTTGCTTTTTCTCCCTATCTTTGTTCATAGGCCTAACGTGCTAAATAACTCTGAAACAAATGTAGACATTGACACATTCTTGTCTGTAAGAAGCTCATACTTTGTTGGAGATGACAGTTTCATATGTAGTAATGATAATAAAAAAGCTACTGTATACCAGCATTGTACTGGGTACCTTGGATACATAATTTTTAATCAATACAATAATCCTGAGGTAGGAAGCATTATCTATTGTGGAGATGAGGAAACTAAGGCTCAGAGACAGTAAATAGCCTGCCCAGGTTCACACAGTAAACTAAAACCCACAACTGCTGGACTTTAAACCCTGGCCTTCTAAATACACGCACAATGGAATACAGTGTCAGGAGATAAGGCTTAGACGAGCTTATGGAAGACCATGAAAGCCAGATCTAAGGTTAGATCTTACCTTGGAGGTGACAGTGTAGGGTTGTAGGTCAGGAAACCCAGCCAAGGTCAGCAATCATTCTCAGCAATAATGGAAAGGAAACCCAGAAGTAGAAGACCAATTAGGACGCTGAAGCAATAGTTTAGATAACAGACAAGGAGATCGAACAATGCAATAGCAGTGGAAGGAGAAGCAGATTTACTATGTTTAAGAGGTAAAGCAGGCAACATTGCCCTTGAGGAGGCAGCAAATAATGCCAGCAAAAGCACTCTGAAGTGGGCATATCTGGGTCTGAGTCCTGGTAAATCCACTTGATGCTTGTGTAGGTCAGGTGGAATTGGAGTTGGTGGGGCACCCAGCAAGGTGTCTTACACAGAGCCAGCATTCCACCCCTGACACCCCAGCACACCTTTGTCTGGGTATGCCAGGACACTTACTCATATGCCAGCTCTTAGCTAAGCCGATGAACTCTCAGGCAGTGTGGGAAGGCTGAATAGCTGACCCCAAAGACATTCAGTTCCTGATCCTAGAACCTATCAATAATACCTTATATGAAACAAGGTCTTTGTAAATGTTACATGGTTAAGCTCTTGAATGAAAGGTGAGACCTCCCTCCTGGATCATCTGGGTAGGTCTAAATACGATCACATGTACCCCTAGAGAGAAGGCAGAGGGAGATCTGACATACACTGAAGAGGAGGAGGCAATGTGACCATGGGGGCAGAGATGGAAATGATGTGATCAGAAACCAAGAAAAGCCAGCAGCCACAGGAAACCAACTATTTCTCTGTTTTCTCCCCAGAGCCTGTGGAGGGAATGCAGGCCTGTGACACCACAAGTTTGGCCCCAGTGAAACTGATTTCTGACTTCTGGCCTCCAGAATTGAGAGAATAAATGTCTGTTGTTTTAAGCCACTAAATGTGTGGTGATTTGTTACAGTGTCAATGGAAAACTAATTTCAAACCTTATACTTACCCTCAACTTTAATTCATTCCCGTGATGAATTGGACCTCTTCCACAATTTCTGTGTAAGCATTCATCTCCAGTCTTCTCCGTGATGAACCTCTCAGGAAATACCTACTCTGTGGGTGCATTTCACCCGTCAAAAAAGAGCCTCACTTCCCGTCCCTGTCTGTGTCTCTCCACCTTCTTCTCTCAGTCCTCCAGTCTCTCACCTTCCTGTCACTATTTCAGTCTTACACATCGCATTTACAGTCTGTCCTCTGCGGCTGTGCTTCTCTCACATTTTCCTTTTGTCTCTTTCTATCTCATCTTTGCCTTTCTTTTTTTCCCCTCCCTCCCTTCTCCTACCACCTACATTTGTCATCTCTCTCATGCCTCTTTCAGTTTGATTCTTTCCTTTTCTGTCATTTGCTCCGTTTTTCTCTCTCTGCCCCTCACCCCATTTCTCCTCAGTTTTCAAGCCTGAGTCTCTCTCCAACCTCTCTAATTATCCTTCTCCTTATCCTTTACACTTCATCCTGACCAGTTTCTCTGTATTTTTCTGTTGGTTTCCATCTCTCTCGCTTCTGGTCTCTGCCTCTGCGGCCTCTTTGTCTCTTCCTCTCTCTCCTGCCTGTCTATCACTGACTCTCTCCTAATCCAGCCTCTCTCACTGCAGCTTTCTCTCCTTCTCGCTCCCTTTCCTCTCTCCCTCTCCTCTCCTTTCCAGGTCTTCTTACCCAGGTACCTCTGAACACCTGCAATGGGAAAGGACTCTTGCAATGACATCAGCAGCCTCCACACTGCACTTCAGAGAAGAGATTCATCCCTGTTTAGTCATGCACTTGTCCGACACTGTGGGAGATTGGTAGGAAGAGCAGAGACAAAAGATATTCATTGTCACATTTTTTTTCTGGCCTTACCTAGAGGCTCCTAGGCAGGTGCCTCTTAATATTCTAGTAGCGCTGTCAGCCTTACCAAGAGAAATCATTTTCCTTGGCCTATCCTCTGCACAATTAATCTTCCCCCTTTGTGGTGATCATCTGTTTAACAGGAGGGCAGGGGGTATGAGCAGAAAATGAATTCTAGGTGGGAGTTCAAACAGGGAGCAGGTGAGTTCAATTTTCTTATTTGGAAGCAAGATATTGTCAAAGAAAAAGAAGACCTTTATGAGGACAGAGATATGTCTGTTTTCTCTTTGTTATATCTAGCTTCTGGGAGCAGTGTCTAGCACATAGAAACCTCAATATGAATATAAATGAACAAATGGGTTTCAATCCTCCTTGCACCAATAGCAGTGTGACTCATCAGACAAGTGACTTCTGATTTTCATCACCAAAATAGGGATGAAGTAGCAGAGCTGCTATGGCCCACAAGTAGGGGGAAAGGAGAGTGGGATATTGTGTGTCTGAGAGTGGGGCAGAGCTCAGCACAGCACCTAGTGCAGTCAGGCCAGCTGAGCTTGCTGGGGGTTCTAGAAAGAGCCGCAGGGAGTGAGGAAGCATGAAGAAGGCTTTAAGAGATGAGTCCATAAGGAGGAGCAGGACAGGGGAAGGGAGGCCACAGGCCGGGCAGGAGGATGTGAGACTTGTCTCCACGAGCTGCTCTGGGAGGCGGGGACTTGGACCTGCAGACAGCGGCCCCATTGCACCACCGAAAGAGTGTTCCTGACCCCCATGAGAGACTTGTCCCTGAAGCTGATTATTATCCCCAGTTTGGGATTGGGTTGGATTTAGCAAGAGCCTAATTTGGCCAAGTGACTGGTCGGGGCTGTGTTTCAGATGAGGAGGATTAACTCCGCTTTGATGTTGGCCAGCGCCTTCATCTCCCCAAGCCCATCCCCACCCTACCTTCTCAAGGAGGCCTTTCTGAGCACTCTACTTAATGCTGTGATCTTCTCCTTATCCCCAGCCCTCCCCTTACCCTATTCTTTATCTTTACTCCATAGTATACCACGTTCGGCATTCTATAATTTACACATGTATTATTAGGTCTACAGCTTGTTTTCCATGGCTAGAATTTAAACTCCATAAAGACAGAGGTATTTAGCTGATTTTGTTCACTGTATATGTCAAGTGTCTGAAATAGCGGCACATAGTCAGTTCTCCGTATATATTTGTGAATGAAAAGAATGAGGATGGGATTTCTCATGAAAACATTGTATTGAGGGCTTTGCTTGAATATACCATGTTAACTGAAAAAGGACTCCCAGGAGGACCACATCTACCCACAGAGAAATTAGGCCCAGTGAAGGGAAATGGCCCAAGGTCACATGGCTAGTTAATGATGAAAACCATGTTAGTCTCTTGATTCACTTGCACACTCAAGGCCCCAGATCTGAGGCCCTGAGACAGGAGAACAGAGGATCCTTCAGTTGTTGCCATTCTCCTAAAGGCCTTGGGACACACCCTGGAGCAGAGAGGAAGAGGTGGAGAGCTGAGCAGGAGGAATGGACACACTGCACGATCGGCAAGAATTTGTAGCATGAATAATCCCAAAGGAAAGCTGAAAATTCAGGAAACAATTCCCGTTTTCTGATTTTTTTTTCCATTTCTGATTCCAGAACCTGGATGTAATGTCTCATAGCTCAAACCCAACATGCTCCGAACTGACCTCCTACTCTCTCCCCTGAAGCTCTTCCTGCCTCATTCTTTCAAATGCCAGATCAGGGGCACCCCACTGACCCAGCTGCTAAAGCCAAGATGAAGGTCATCCTTCACTCCTTCCTCTCCTTTGGGCCCCACATCCAACCTGGCAGCGAGTCCTGTTGGCTCTTCCCACAAATACGTCTTCCCATCTCTGCCTCCGAACGGCGGGGTCTCCCTTGTCCTCCTCCTGGACCATGGCAGTCGTCCCTGACTACTCATGCCTGCTTCCACTCTTGCCTTCCCTTTTAGTGCAGCAGTGACCTTTGGAAATAAAAATAAGACCGTGTCACTTTCCTGCTTCAAACTCTTCAGTAGCTTCCCATTCACCAAAAGAAAGTCAGACTCTTTAAGTGCAGCCCAGAAGTCTGCGTGGAGTCTAGCCCTTGCCATCACCCTCTAGCCAGCCCTCTTCAGTTTCTGTCTCTCTCACCCGAGGACCCTTCCCAGACACCCCTTCACTCTTCCTTAGGTACCGCTGCAGTCACTGTTCACTCCCAGTTCATATCTCTTCCTCCAGAGGCCTTCCCATGCATTATCCTTAATTACAGACTCTGTGCATTTCTTCCTTAGTACTATATTAAGTGCAATATATGTGTGTAGTTTTTTTGGTTTGTTTTACTACCTCGCTTCTTTATCTCTGCTTCTAGACTTAAGAACCATTGTCTTGGTTTGTGTGCTTTGTTTTTAATGATAGTATACCTGAGCCTTCAAAGAAAGCCTGAACATAATAAACATAGTAGATGATCAGTAAATATACATTGAGTAAATGAGTGACAAATACAACCCATATATGTTTGTTGGCTTTTATTGCCCACAGAATAGAAGTTTAAGTTTCTTGACATTTCAGCCTTCACTCACTTGTCTCTAGCCTAATATTTCAGCATCACATTCCCTCTGCGTTTTAACTACATGGGCCCTCGGACCACTTTTACATGTTATTTCAGGTCATGTGCCTGGCCACACTCCGTTTCTCTGCTGATACTTGTCTTTCTCTTCCTCCCACTTTAAGACCTGTCTTTGTCCTTCAAATCTTTGTTATATAGCTGCACCTCCATGAAGCTTTTACAATTCCTCCATTTGAATTTAATCATACACATCCACAGAATTTGTGTTTAGTTATGATTACACTCAAGAAAGGAAACAACATATGCACACTGTTAGAAGACACTGAAGTTCATATGCTACCTTTGTTACATTCATGCCATGAGAATGAATTAGTTATGCAAACTCTCTTGTTTTCAATGTCCTCATCTGTGAAATATATGTAGAATTGTACTTTGACTTTGCAGGGCTTTGGTGAGGACTGGTGATAGTAACTACACTGTATGCATTGTGGAGTAAACTTTAAAAAAAAATAGTTCCTGCTTTTCTGAAGATGACAGTGCAACAGCCTCTCCAGGTAATATAGTTAACTGGAACATGTCCAGTTCCTTCTCCTGAGCTATAAAAAGTGTTGTCTAATTTTCCTTTAACCCCAATCCCTGTCCTCTTCATAGCAGTATATACATGGGAGGAGCCCAACAAACATTTGAATGGATGCGTGAAGGAATGAGTGAATGAATGAGAATGAACAGTAAATGTTCAAACCTTTGTGCCTGTTGAAGGACCCCATTAAATAGGAGGCTGAGGATACTTACCTGCCACTTTTTCAAAGAGCTCTGTGTGAAAGGTAGAATCAGTCAAGTTTTGGACAATCCCAGCTGAATTCTAGTTTATTGCCGTAAGTGTCTTGATTCCATCTTCCCCATGTGGCTGGCTATACCCTGCCATTTTTGAGAAGCAGATCAATGACCTACATAGGAACCAGAAAATGACGAGATTTTTAACTTACAGACCATCTTGAGATTTTTGTTTATAATGAAGAGTTGGAGTTTCCCCCAATTTTTATCTCTTAATTCTACAATACAGTGAAAGCATTCAGCCAAAGTGTGCCTTTCTTGCCTGGATTTTAAATCTTTGTTCAAGACAGCTTATTTTAATTGAAAATGTTCAATCCCTCCTCTCCTCTGCCCATGTCCTATTTCTTGGCTCAAACAGGGCCATTGCAGTAAATAATCTACAAGGTGAGACTTTCAGGGGTTAGGAATATGTAATAGGGTTGGAGGAAGGAAGGGAAGAGTTGTCCCAGACAATGCACATCTTTAAAACACTGGCTTCTAAACAGATCCTGTCCAAAATGATCAATACCTTACAGTGGCACATTTGCTGGAACAGCCATCCTTTCCCCTAGCAGAGTTCAGGAAGTTGATTTACAAAGCTACCTCCTACAGTTGCTTTAAGTCTGGCTCTCAGTGATTGGTGAGAAAGGGATCAGGTTTTACCTCTCTTCCTCATTCATTCATTCATTCATCCAAATCCCTGTTATTCATCAACTAGGTGCAATTCCCCACTCCTTTAAATTTCCAACAACACTGTGAGCGAAACTGCAACTCAAAGTAAATGGACTCATGCAAAGTCACACAGTGTTCTAGTTCTCTAGTTCTACATTAGAAAATCTCCCCAAAACTTAGCAGCTTAAAACAATAGCTATTTTCCTATATATTCTCTGTGGGTCAGGAAATTTGAGGAGGCCTCAGCTGGTTAGTTCTAGCTTAGAGAGTGGTGTATGTTGCAGTCAGACAATGGCTGGAGATGGGAACAGTAGAGTGCTGGAGGAGCTGTAGGCTGGCTGGAATCCTTCTAACTATTATTGCCACCACTTTTTCTTTATTTTATTGTTACCTTCTCTGTCTCTCCTCTCTCTCTTTCTATAGGCTCAGGATCTCAGGGCAGTCAGACTGCTCACATGGAAGCTCAGGACTCCAGCTTGGGAATTCAGCAAGCAAGGACAAGTGACTTCACCTTTTCTGTGGCCTTGCCTTAGAAATCCACTATTTACTTCTCTCACTTCTGCCATTTTTTTAGTTACAAACAGTACCAAAAAGAGCCCATTCAAATTGAGAGAAGGAGTATGCTACTCAGAGGAAGGAGTAGCAGGAGTCATGTACCATAATAATAACATGGGAGATTGGAAGACATTGTTGCAGCATCTTTGGAAATACAACCTGCCATACACAGTGTATGGCAGAGCCAAATTTGGATTAAATGCATCTGCCTCAAAACGTTTGCTGCAATCTTTTAGCTCCAATCCACAGAAACTCTGCTTTCCTCTGTGCCCTGTAGCTCTTACTGCTAGTGCACACAGCCACGATTTAGTTTCCCCTCCCAGCCAGCTGGGACTGGCTGGGTGAAAGCTGGTGAGGCGTCCTCCAGAAGTCTGCTGCTCAGAGAGAGGTCATGCACAATGCCAGCTTGTGAACTTTTTAAACAAAGGACAGAAGGTCAGTCACATCCAGAGGAAGAAACCCGAGTGGCAGCCCCAGAGCCCAGCAAGCCTGCAGTGCACATTCCGAGTGCGCCAATCACGTGGCACTGGCGTAGCCTAGGCAGATGGGTGTGAGCCGAGGCGTGTGTCACTGAGGGCACGCGAGGCGATGGCCGAAACAGAACAATGAGTGTCAGGCATGTGCCCCATGGAAGAGGCACAGGTGATCTTTCCATGAATGCCAGGAAAATCAAAGAATGCCTGGGATCTAGCGAGGGGCCAAAGTTTCGAGGCAGTCCACCCAGGAGCAGAGGAATCCCTTCTCAGGAATGAGGACTTCTATTGGGTGTGCAGAGGAAATGCAGCAGCCACCTGTCCCCAGAAGGCAGGACTTGTCTTTCAAAGGGAGGAGGGAGGCAGGGCTCAGATGCCTCCAGTGAACTTTAGTTGTGGCAGGCCTTGAGGCCTGTGGGATGATTGTGGGCTGCAAGCAGACCATGCCTGCCTCACGGGATGTGCTCAGCCCATGCTTTCTCACCCGGAGGCTCCAGGATCGGATCTGGTGAGTCCTGGGGTGTAGGCGCCCTGAACTCCTCTGACAGGAAATCGCTCCAGCAAGCAGGTTACAGAGAGAGAAACAATCATGGCAGGGATCTCCGGGAAGTGTCTCCCTGATGGACTAGGAAGCGATCCTTATGGAAGATATCCAGCCACGGGCCACTGGAACCTCTGCCAGGGAGCTTCAAGCTGACGGGTGCCAAACGGGTGGCTTGTCCAGTGAGGCCAGCGTTCCCGTGACTGGGATCGTGGCCATCTCCCATTCCTGGCTTCCTCTTTCAGCCTGTGTCCTGTAGGTGTGGCTTCTTTTCTCAGAGAGAGACCTGAAAAGATGCAAGCCTCTTCTGTGATGTTAAGGCCTCCTCCTCTCCTGCAGGACAATGAGCCCCCTGCGGCTTTCTCCCTGGCTGCAGTGTGTTCATGTTTGATCCGCGAAAAGAGGCATGCAGGATGGGGATGAGATTTCTACTGCTCTGGGGGCCACGCGTCCTCACCTGGTCAAGAGCCTTCCCACAAACCCAAAGTGGAAGCGCCGAGAAAGCAGTTGACAAGCGGACCACATGACCCAGGCATGGACAGCGGAGGAGGCTGGGAACAGGCAGACAGGCAGAAATCGCTTTGGCGCACAGGGCACTTTTCCTACACACACACACACACACACACACACACACACACACACACACACACAAAATAACCGAGCAGAGAGAGGGCAAAAAGAAACTCACAGGGAAGTAAGAGACAGAGAGAGAGAAGCGAAAATGGGGAACACACAAATACATACACACATACAGTCATACAGCAGTGGCGCCCAGACACAAACACCCCCAGGCAGCCGCTGAGGCTGCAGAGTTCGGCTCTCGACCAGAGCGACCTTCGGTTGAGAGGCAGCCCACCGGAGCTGCAGGCCCGACCCGTCCTCGAGATCACGGGGGGCGCCGACTTCTGGGGAGACTCACCCCGAACAGCGTCCGCGGGGCGGAGCCTGGGGCTGGGATGCGGCGCTGCTTCCCCCGGACTCCGCCTGGGCTTTCAACATCCTGCTCAGCCCTTTGCCACACGACTCCTGGCATCCGGGAGACAGTCCCTGTCGACCCCGTGAGAGAAGAATCTGGCTGGAGCCTGAGCCCCGCCACCCAAGCACTGCCGCCGCGGAGGCTCCTGTGTGCTTGAGCCTCAGGCGTGGTTTCTCCTAGCAACCATGGGAACCACTGTGGCCTTAGGCACCCGCTCGCCACTCGCGCTTATCTCCGCATTGGCTGGGCCGACCAGGCGCTCATGTCAGTGGGCTCGTCCTTTTACCCTAAGCGAAGGTGGCCGCTGGGCGCCAGGGGCTCTCCTGCTGCAGCCTTGCCAGCCGGCCGCATCCGGGGAGTTCGTGCTGGGGCCGCGTGCAATGGCG